TAATGCTGCCATAGTTCCGCAAAGTGCCTCTGAGTTGTGGTCTCAACCCAGTACGGTATCTTGCCTCCCGTATGCCTTCCCATGGACTGGATGCGGTCTTCTAACCGCGGACTAAAAACCACATGATGCGCTGGATCGTTATGGTCTGTCTTTTCCGTGGGGTTTAGGATTGGAAAACCAACATCAGAAAGGTACGGGTTACCGTAGGCTCAGGGAACAAACTATAGAGAGCCAGCACGGTGCCATAGTGCAGATGTTGTACGTTCCTAGTTAAAAAGTTCCTGATTCTCAGCCTGCTCAGCACACTCCAAGTCCTAGATGTTAGGCACGCAGTTTGCTGCCCCTCGGTTTACTGAGCCCTTCTGAGACAAGGGGCGGTAAAGCCAGACCCTCGGCAATCCCTGAGCCTCTCCGTGCCCGAAAGTGCGACCCAACTGCTGCAAGGCTCCACAAGGTAAAGCTTGAACCTTAGACCATGAAACCTGTCCCCGCAGCCGCAAGCGCTTCTTTGCACCTATGCCCAGGTCATAGGTGACACTTTTTTGAGGCTGGGTTTGGCGTTCAGAGTCCAGGTGTCGAGGATTTGACAGGGCTAAGGAAGATGCCGGTTCAGTGTTGTAGGGAAATATGTGTATACCTTGAGCCGCTTCGGGGTTGCGGGTCTTGCGGGTTAGCGTATAAATGAGTGTAATGTCGCACCACCAAGCATTGCCTCTCCAAACGGTTGATTTTTGTCGAATCTAGTCCCCTTCTCATAGCCGTCACGGAACACAAGGCTCCACGACGAACGATTTCAGTTTGAGGTTGTAATATGCTAGCATGCTTGGGGTTGCAAGTTTACGTGATGGGACGGGGAGACCGGGTCTAGGCGCGCGGCTTGGGACTCCTGGTTCTAGCGTCGGGCAGAAGCCCAGGAGCTCATGATGAGTATGAGATCACGTGCCAGACGTTGCCACATCATTTCACGTAGTCTTGCTTGTAATTGGACCATGAGCCCCAATAAAATAAACGTAAATGAAATCCAGGTTCAACACAACCATCCCCATCCTCAGCTTCATCTCTTCATAACCATCTAAAGCCTTGGACTATCGCAGCGCCGCCGGCACACCCCTACTCTGCCGCTCAAAGCAAATTATGACCCGAACCTGAACACATTTGAAGCCTAATCCTCAGAGCTAAGGTTGGGGGTTCAGGGGTTCATTCTAGATTTTGTTCACGTGTGAAGGTCAGAGGTTTCCTCGCCTAAGCTCAGTTTCGGAACTTGAAGGCTTGATTGCCCCATCTTTTCATGTCCATGTAGTTGCAGCGCAAACATACTGCTAGAACCTGATCCCAGCGAGAGTTCAGTCGGACCCTGCTGATTCTGTAGAGGTTAGTTATTTGAACAAAACCTTGCACACGACCCAAGCCTTTCACCCCAAAGTTTTCGACCCCAAGCTTTTTTTAAACTCTGCGAATACTAGATCGCAAGGACAGGGAACATTGACAGCAGTATATACGCCGCATAGATGGAACAGCAATGATTCTCTGAATCCTGACTGGTGCAAGGCCTCCTTCATCAAGAGTGTTGTGCCCCAGTCGGCTTTGTGAAAAGCATCCATCCAGACGAGGCAGTCTAGGGTTCAGGTGTTTGGGGGTTCAAGGGTTTCAGGCCTAGGGCATGGTTTTGGATTGAAAAAGTTGGCCTTCAGACAGTGTGATCTCTGATAATTACCAGCGCCCTAAAAAGCCCTAAAGTCCCAAGCTCTGAATCTTGTGACCGCCAGTTCAGTTATTACTGTTGATGGAGGAAATCTTGCACCACCTTGAGTCCCTAAAGTCGTAGGAATTACAGTAGTTTAGGGCCCCTAGGTGGTGCAAGATTTCATCCATCAACAGTATGGGGTCAAGAAGTGCTCCTACTACGTCCACAGACCCGCCTCCTTAAGGGCCGCCATGCGAGCCCTCTTGCACCTGAAGCTAGTAGGTGTAGGCTACTACCAGAGAATGAAGACTTACGGATTTTGGTTTTGAATTGAGGGTCTGCAATGCAGGGGCTTGGGGTTAGGGTTCGCGGTTTAGGGATTGGAGAGCAGGAGTATGGTTTAGAAAGGGTTTTGGACGTTAGGGGTTTCCTTTCCAGATGCCATGGGTGCAGGGGTCCTTTGCGCGATTTAAGTTCAGGCCGCATGAGGTACCTACCGCTGCCCCACACCCCACCATGGCAAAAGCCAAAGGAAGGCACGCTTCACACCCACAGCCAGCCTAGCGGCGCTTGACCTCAAGTCATTGGCTTCACAAACGGTGCTCGACCTAGAGGTGCTTCAAGATGTAAGACTCCTCGGTTGAATGCATGAACGCCGGACTGACATACTAGAAATGCTTCTACGAATCCCTGCCATCTAGCAGACTATAGAAGGATACCCGACGGTTAAGACAGTTGCCTCAACCCTGAGATGGTGTAGTACACTACGCTGTTAAGCTCTGATCGCAATCTAGAAGCATGCGTTGTTGGGAAAACCATGCCCTGAAGATCTGTGTATGTATAATTCTGTAGTATGCTACACCCCCAAACCTTGCACTATCGCCCTGCATGGCTCGCACGGGTTGATCGCCGCAGCCGTTTGGCCGCCTGGGGGTGCACGTGGGACGGATTTTACTTCGCGTGGCGCTGAGCGCATGCAGGAGGCCAGCAGGGAATTCCTTTAACGTCAACAGAGTTTCAGGCTTGCTCTAGGATTTAGGTTTGGGACTAGGAGCGCGCGATCATTGAGGTTTACAGCCTGGCTTTGGGGAATGCAAGAAAGGCAGCAGTAGTGATGTTTCTTGCCCTTGCTGTTTGGAAAAGAAAATTCATCGGCATGGCTAACCGCGTTTTGACTTGGTCTTTTACGATTAGTTGTGAAGATTTTCAACATTCATGCAAAGGTTCTGTGTCATGTACTCGTCACGTGATGTCAGTCTACAAATCCGAATAGAGGTTCTAGGCTTCCAGCTCGCGGTATTCGGCAACAGAACAAGTTTAGGGCTGCAGGACTCCAACCAACCACTGCACTTAGTGAACTGCAGTGTGCAGTTTCTCACGGGAAGGTGTCTTAAAGCGTAATGGGTCGTCACCAATGGTTCCTGACATGCCTTATTGGGAGCCTTGCTTTCCGTACGACCCCGATCCCAAATGCCTGCAGATGTAGGGCGCGGCGTTTCAAGGGATCAAGGAACATGTGCAGCTTTGTTGCTTGCAGAGTTTTTGTCTCGTGGTGTTGGGCCCTTCAAACTAAGTAGAATTTTCACCTGTTTGCTGCTGCGCCTGCTGGGGTGAACCTTTCAGGGGATCGAAGGTCCGAGGGCTTCATGGACCTCACGCATATGGTTGGCGGGTCTATGTGGAAGCTGTTTTGCGTGTTTTGGGGAACAGCCGTCTGTTGGATTAAGATGTTGTTTCAGTTCACGCCCTAGCGCCGAGATTGCTAGCTGCGGGCATGTTCTGGTGAACCTGTGCTTACTGCTTCCCTTGCCCCAAATCCGTGCAGACCCTACGTTAAAGAAGCTCTGGCGGATTGCATTTTTACATATGGTCTTCACGGTCATTGCACTCTTTAAAAGATCAGCGCTGAAGATTGAGACTGTTTCAAAACTTTGACTGCATGACTGCATCAGGGGGTACGGAGTTCCAGTTAAAGCTAAACACAGAGACCCAGCATGAGTCCTTAACTGTACACATCAACCCAGGGACCTGCATTCCAACAGGGACTCCTCAGCCACTGCTGATGCTCGCATGAGGCTTTGGGGACGCGTTTTAGCTGTTGTGAATTCTGGCTTAGGTCAGGGTTTGGGGGTCTGTCTTGAGCATGCTGGCTAGGATTGCAACTCAGGCATGTCTGCAACTGTCGGGGACGTATTTCATGAAGGGTGTTGAAAGCTAGTCATCATACTAGCCTACAATCACTTTGAGACCGACTTGCCCAGCCATCGGCACCTCGAGTTTGCGGGCTTTGCCTCAACCCTCCATGCCGAATACTCCACTACATCTTTACATCTCTTGACTAGATGCAGCAATCTGGTGCTTGTCTTCAGGTGTCCGCCATCTCAGGGCTTATGAAGCCGCGGCCTTGGCTTTGACAAATCCTGAAGCCTTCGGCTTCTTATAATTCTGGTGGGTGGGGTGAAGGGTTCGACTGAACCCATGCCTACCAAAAAAAGGGCGGGGCATCCGAGGTCTCTGTAGCCACCCAGACCAGCCTTCAGACCCTGACTTACACAAATCCTTCGTATCCCCTGGAGAAGCGTTCAGCATATTTGTGCCCTGCAGCTCCACAGAACCATGGCCTTTTTACCTTTATCACAGTCAAATTCATCGCTGGATGTTACCCGCCCTAAGCTGTGGACAACTGGAGTTACAGGTCATAAGCCCCTGTGCACCGCCACCCCGTGAACTGCCAGCTTGATTTTGGCTTCCAGTGTGGCGTTTCGGGGGCTAGCACTCAGACAATGAAGCAGCTTAGGCTTCAAGCCAAAAGATCAGAACTAGAGAACGCGTGTCCCGAAAGCGTTTGAAACAGCAAGGTTAGAGAAGCAAAGTATCACCCCCGCAATCAGCATCCTCTCATCATTCTCATATCTCCGCATCATCCCGATGTGGTATGAGCTGAACTGCATTCCCAAAGCCTGCAGGATTTGTGAGGCATTCATGTTGGTGTCCACATAGCACGTAGAAGTTTGCCACCTGCATCATACCCACATCGTGCCACATCTCCATTGAGCAGCAAAAAGAGATTTGAACCCGCCCCCAAACGCAACCTTGTTGAAAGTAACCAGCGATGCTTGCAACACGCGGAAGGGCTTGTGCAAGTGTTGTCATTGAGTAGCCTAGCAGGATGAGTAGATTGCGATTAGGCATGCTTATGCTGGTTGCTCTGGCTTTTGCTGGTGTCTGGACATTGAATGCGCGAGCCAGCACCGGTCAGCAAGCAGAGGCACCGGCACATCCGGCACCAGCCTCAGATACTGAGAGGCAAGTCAGCATGGGCGGCGAGAGAGATGCAGCGAGCGCTGTCTTGGCATCTGATTGCAGACGTCCTGAGTCAGAGCCCTCGCATCTGCCAGATGATTTGCGGCACTGCAAGTTTCCAAACAAGACGGATCAATTTGGCACTGCGCCATGGACCCGGAAGCTTGTCAACAATCCGTATGAACCGGGCTGTTGGGACAGAACAAGTTACTGTGCACCTTTCGAGTGTTTCCCGCAGTGCAGATACAACGTTGAGTATCAGAACATGATCACGTATTGGGCGCCATTCAGGCCTGGCAAGCGAAAAGTTATGGTGTTCCAGTACGGGAAAGTGGCGTCCACTGCAATTGTCAGGGGCTTGAAGCTTTATGCAGGTATTACAGCTGCTCACGTGCACACCGCTGACCATGCAAAACAGTGGTTGGCAGGGAGGCATGTTGATCTTCCGGTTGAACAGCAAGGTTTTGCGCTGTCCGAGGAGTGGTCACTAAGATCAGGACCTTGCGCACAGCATGGGCAAAGATATGCAGCTTGTGTTTTCTCGGGGCCGGATGAATAAAGGCTGTAGTTGCTATTGTTTTGCACCTCTGCCTGCTCAGCTTGCCAACTGAAGTCACCTTGCACCAGCACACGCATGCATGATGGCACAGTAATTTGTTATGCATCCGCATGACCTCGTGCTGTCTGCTTGAAAGCTAGGCTCCATAATGTTGGCGCCTTTGTGCCTAACCTCCTGATGCTGATTTGCTCTGGTCACTTGGGTATCGCACATTGAACCAGTCAGCTAGCTCAAAATCTGTATCGGGAACAGTGCTTGCCTCAGCTAATCTTTTTCTAGAGCCCGTAGATTAAGCATGTTAGCAAGACCTCTTGACAAGCATTCAGTTTCCTGCACATGTCCCTGCAGGAGATGCGTGCACCATCATTACTGCAACCCGGAGCCATTTCAGCCGAGATGTGTCCGAGTACTTCGAGAATATCTTGCAGGTGAACCACCCATATGGTTATCACCCTCGCGGTGTCCAGCGCCACGAAGACCGCGCTCCACGCACCGGGGAGACTCGTTGGACGCAGGCAAGTGTTGTGCGCTTGGGCCAGGAGAACATTTCAGCATTGGTGGAAGATTACCGGGCCCAGCACTCAATTGTTCTCGCATTCTACGCCAAGTGGTTCACGAGACAATTCAAAGCAGCCACTGGCCTTGACGTATTGTCGCAGCCGTTTGACCTGCAGCAGCACCATTCCTGGATTCAGGGTTCGCGGTGCTCAGCGCTGGTATTACGGTGGCAAGCCTGCAGTTGTATGAGATGGAATGTTGTGCAACATAACATACATAACTAAGCAAGCAACAGCTGGAGTGTAGACATGATGCCGGCTTATCAGTTTCTTCATGTGTGGATCACACACAGCAGTTACTCAGGTCAGAGGACTCGAAATTCTGGCCGGACATTATTGCGAAGTACTTTGACGGCTTCAAGATGCCAAGGTCGAATGCGGCAGGCAACAAGTGGTACAGCGGTGTATACAGCGCCTTCAAGACACATCTGCAGTACTCCGTATCTGAAATGAGGGAAATGTGTGCAACAGAGACGGAGCGGCACTTCTACAGAGAAGAGGAGTCCTCTCCATGCAAGTGGTAAGATAGCGAGATTGGCAGCTTCTGATAAAACATTGAGCCCGAGGTGCCACGGTTCTTCGGGGTTCATCCAAGACTAGTTTTTGCGGTCTTAGATGCAGTTATGTGACATTTCCTACCGGATCGCTAGCATTTCCTTGGGATATCTGTGGATCCTTGTCTTCAAATTCCAAATCATATTGCGGCTATGTCTGCAATAGCTTGTAGTCATGGAGATTTCGTGGCTGAGCGAAATGAAGGCCATCAGGGCTCGATCTTTTCTGCTCGCTCATGCACTGGTTCTTCTTCAAGGCTTCGCCCACTATCTCAATCCTGTGGCCCAAAACGACACAGCTCGGAACCACAGAACCCAAGCTCGTAAAGCCTGGATCCAAACCTTGAGCCTGAAACCTAAACTCCTAGGCCCTACCCTAAAACAGTGAGCCCTCAACCCTGACCCCCTTCAACCCTAAACTTACACCCTGAACCCCAAATCCTGAGGTTGTGTTCAGGGGTGCGGGGATTGACCTTCATGAAATTAAGGAGGGGATTAAGCTTCAGGGCCTATACAGGGCTCAGGATTTCCGGCTTAGGGCTTGGGCATTAGGTTTTTGGTTTTACGGGCATGCAAACTCGAAGGTCCCCGCGGCACCTGGGTATGACCGTACGAAAAGTAATCACTTCTGATCAAATAGCAAAAGCACCCTGCGTTGTGTATTCTCAGTCGTCTATCAAACTGCAAGTATTTCTCGCATATTATGAAAGATAGAGTCTTCAACCCTAAATCCTAAACCCTAAACCCTCTCATTAGTAGGGGGAGGTTATGGCTGCATTATACAGCTACACAGCTGCACACTATAAAATTGATCACAAGCCAAGACCTCAACACCCTTGAGCCTGGTTCAGGGTTTAGGCTTTACTTCAGAGTCTAAGGTTCGGGGATTTCTTGGGGGTGGTTAGTAGGGAATCAGGGAATGTAATCCCAGTATGAAGTGGCGCCAATGAGCCCGTGCAGCAGTGCTCTTGCAGCTGCCTTGGCCTGGTGGGGCCATATAATGACCCGTACACCTCTCTAAAACCCGAAGCACTATTTGCAAAAAAACAAGTCCTTGTCGCAGCTGGGTCCTCAGTACTGGGAGTCAATGAGGCTGCTGAGGGGGCTTCAAAGTTCTGAACTAGCAATTTGGAGTCTTCTTTGTCAGGTTGTTTTGTGTGTATCTTGTAGGGAAGTGACATGTTGGTGTGTTTGAGTCTGCAGTCATAACTATGTAGGAACTATTGGCTGTAGCTCATATGGCACTCTGATTGAGAGGGGCTATGGTCCTGACAGTGCAGAAAAATTCTCGAGGATCATTTTCAGCATCCTCAACATGGAAGTGCTTGCGCACGAGTCTTCAAGAAAGATATGCAATCCCGACCCCAGACCTTGACCCTGAAATTCTCATTCGTGCTCCTTTAAGCCCAGAACTGACATTGCCCAGAAGATAAGCAGTTGCCGCAGGCCTTTGGGTTAATCTTGAGAGTTTTCGCCTGCCGCACTGATTTCTGAAATCTTCCCTGTATCCAGCTCTGGCAAAAAGTCGGTTCTGGCGGGTTGAAGTTGCCTCTGCCCTCGAGTGTTTGCCACACCTTCCCCACAAGGCTTGATGTTCCCGAAGTATTTTCAAAACAGACGTATTCTGCAAGTAAACCCCTCAAACTCGAGGCCAGAAATATTCGTAGCTGTATCTAAATCCAAAGTATGCCTTCCATTCTCCCCGCCCTCTCAGGGCAGCGGTTGAAAAGGCGCCAAAGACCGTGGAGGAGGCCCAAAGTTTGTGGATTTGGGGTTTACGATTTGTTTGTGGGAGCTTTGGGTTGAGAAGTTTCATTGAGGCTTTTCTGGTTCATTGTTTGGGGCGGGTCAGTATCACTACGCAGTTCAACATTACCCAGACCCTCCGATGTTGTTCCGGGCACTCCTGGTTGGAGGAGGTCTAGACCCTGAACCTAGAAGAAACCCAAGAGTGATAAAGAGTGAATTACCTGACTTCCTGGCCACCCAAAGCAGGAACAACGGGCGTTTGGGATCCTCAACATGATGTAAACGCTTTAGGCTGTAAGTGGTATACAAGGTTGTGAGGATGTCTGTAATCGCGTGCAGTGTCTGCTATGTATGGTAAGGCCATTTTGACAGCAGCCCCTTATGCCTACTAGTTCAGATCAGTTGTAAGCAGACCTTTGAATGGTAGGTCTGCATTCTGAGCAGGATTGCGCATGGGACAAATAGACAGGTGGGTTTTTGAATCGTAGTAGGTATTAGTGTGATATTTGGGAATGAGAGCCAAGGTTCGTGGTGGTGTGGCAGAGAGCAATTTCCCGAACAGGAACTTCATCGTCTGCAGTTGTCGCGTGTGGAGCCGCGACCCTGCAATTGCCTTTCATTGGCCCCTACAGTCCTTAAAGATGCCCGCCGTCCTAATCCATGAGTTCGTGGCTTCAGGGCATACGTGCGACTGAGTTCCCGTACCGTTGCTTTACCTTCCGTGCGCAAGCTTACTGAACAATGAAAGTGCACGCTCCGAGGAGATCCGGCCGGCTATTGATCCATGTCATTGTAGTTATCACTATCGAGAGCTTGTTCTGGATGTGCTCGGCACCTTTAGAGATTGCCAAGCCCTAACAGCCTCAATCTTCAACAAGCCAAATCCAAACACCATACACAGCAAAAAGCCCCCAAGCCTGAACAAGCCCGAACCCTGAACAAACCCAAGCCCTGAACAACTCCAAACCTAAACAATCCCAAGCCCTAGATGTGCAAAATACCGCCCTGAACTCTGCACAGACCCAAGAGTAAACCTACACAGCCCCAAACCCTGAACGACCCGAAGCCCGAACCCTAAAACTCCCCAAACACTAAACCCCATAAATAGGTAATCCCCAAGCCCACCCCAAACTCTACATGTATGATGGTGAGGATGTTCATGATGATGAGGGCACAGTTGATGACTCTGATATCGATGATGTCAATGATGTTGATGAGGTTGACGGTTGTTGATGGTGTTGATGGTGTCGAGGATCTTGACAGAGGAGGTATGGGCCAAATGCAGATTCTTTTAGTTGAAGTCTAGCCAAGTGGTCATCCGGGCTCTTGCGCACGAAGCATAGACATTTACCTGGATGAAAGCGGCTAACACTGTACTTGTTGAGTAGGACTCCGAAACCCAAGCTCCAATCTCGGATTAAGAAAGCTCTGCTAGGGATTCCATGAAGGTAGAACCCTAAAGCATAAATCGATCAGACCGCCACACTCCTCACAGCACGGTGTCTTGAGCGACTTAATTGCCAACGCGCGGTAAGTTGGTTCCTTTGACCGTGGAGAGCTATAGGCCCGCAAGTCCATTGGGTCGTCGCCATGCCGGGCACAAGCCCTGCGATGCAACGAGGATTCCTTGCCATCCTTCGCTTTAGAGCTTCAAGCCAGGAGGCGGCCCTGTCCGCCCTGGCAGCTGCCACTGCGAATATGGCCGGCCGTCTTGTGTTGTGGATTTAGTGGGGCTCGGGCTCAAGAGATTCCTCTTCTGCTTTAGAGATTCCTCGTCTATTTGAGTAGCCAAGAGCAAGGTATTTGGGGATTGTTTAGCACTTGTAGGTTGATTGCAAGAAGCAAAACTACTTGTTGCAGGCATCCGGGCTCCTACAGTGCAAGTTAAGTCCAAAGCCTTCACTCGCAAAGTCTTGTTGTTGGCTCAGACTTGCCGCCAGTTGACTTAAGTTTAAGGTCTGTTGTTTTGGACGGGGAATTTGGTTTGGTGTTGTTGAACAACGCATTCGTTTTTGTTTATGAATGTTCGCTTCCAGCATAGAACAGAAACAACCCTTTTTTGCAGAATCTTTTCTTTAGCACAGGTTTGGCCGCCTACAGCTTCTCTCATGTTGTGGGGTGTGGCTGCAGCACCTGCTCATTTCTTGCAAAGCTTTACCTTTGATCTGAAAACAACAGCACTATCTCACAGTACTAACTGCTAAATTTCTTCAACTCAGTGCGGCCACAATATCAAATCACTAAGTCTCATTTCCCTACGCCCAGGTGCGACACAAGGCCCTTATATACCAGACACCAATCCCAACTTCAAGGCAGTACTGTATGTTCAGGAGAATTCTCCTATCTTAACTCCTAGCGTCCTAACGAGACTTTTCTGGGCTTTTTGTCTGGCGGTATCAGATGTTCTGTCGTTGGGTTTCAGGGGGCAAGTCGCCAAGAAGTCACAGGCTGGCAGTTTGTGTTTGGTGCTTGTCCCACAGGCTTGGTGATGTTTGAAGCGTAGGGCCAACCATTGTCATCTCAATATAGGTCTTCTTGGAAGCTGGCCCCCGTCTGCGGTTGTTGGGTCCCAGCCGGGATGCTGTCATGACTTCAAGAACTAAACCCTAGGTAGAATCTACGGATGATCTCAAATACCTCAACATTCTATGCCTCAAAGGTATCGATACCGAACTGTCAGGTACAAACTTGTTCAAGGTCTCGCAAAGGTCCTTGTCGCAGCCATGAGGGTGTTTTGGTATACCCCAGCTTTTGAAGAGATTCCCTCGTCTCATCGAGAGGTGTTGGCTCCGCCACCCCCGCTTCATCCGGCCTGGCCGGCAGAAAGCCAGCCGAGGCCAGGTACAATTTTGTGACTCCAAATGCCCTAAAAGTCCAAATCAGGATCCTACATCAAGTACATCAAGGGTACACGGCACCTTGGGGTCTGTAGGCGGGATTCCCCAAGACCATCCTTGAGGACATGTTCACTTGGTCTTTGGGTCCAGAACCATTGGTCTGAGTGCCCCAATCCAGCGGCTTCTTATTGGTTTTGGGAATCTGACGGCCCAATGCTTGGGAACTTGATGCATTCATGTTGTTTGATGTTCATGGCCTTGAGGCCTCCCTTGAGGTTGGATTATGGCTGTTAATTAAAAGGGCTTCTAGCGTGCAGGGTATCGGGGCCGCCAGGTTTAGCAACATGTAGCTGTCCTCGATTTGAGGGCTGTTGGTCTGAGAGG